CCCCCCAAGAGCACATTTGCTTAAGAAAGGTTCCCCACTGGAGATGGGGAAGAGGCCTGCTGAGATGATGAAGGTCTGTATGGTGGAGGAGGGGGAGGCAGAAGGGAGAACTGCTCAGAAGAGGGAAGAATGGCAGCCTGGCCCAGCCCTGGAAGTGGATGGTAGCCAAGAGGCAGTAGAGAAGAGGCATGCTCAACCAATGGGCACTAGACAAAAGACGTTTCTGTAAAACAGAGAAGCAGAAATGTATTGAATTTTTAAACACATATGACTTTTCATGGAGCAAATTGCCTTGCTAATTATATTTAGCTTAAGCCTGTGCAAAGTCAGTTTTGTTTTGTTTTTTAACTTATTTGCTAGTCAGAGGTTGGGGGAACCAGCCAAGGTTGTAAAAGTAACATTAGACAATTCACAGTGTATCACTGACAATTCAGTAGGTATAAATGATGTCGAACATTAGTGGCAACTACTCCTTCACCAGGAGTCCTGGTGGTTGAGCCTCAGTGGTTAAAGGACTCAGCTGCTAGGTTGGCAGTTCGAACCCCCCAGTTGATCCATGGGAGGAAGATAGGAAAGTCTGCTACTATGAAATACTCAGTAGTTAAAGGGCTCAGCAGCTATCAGAACAATTGGCAGTTTGAACCCAGTAGCTGTTGCAAAGGAGAAGGAAGGCTATGGAAGTTGGCTTCCATAAAACACTACAGCCACCTTGGAAAATCTTTAAACCAATAAAACGAAGCTCAACAAGTCAATGCCAACTCCTAGCGACTCTCTAAGACGGGGCAGAACAGCCCCTGTGAGTTTCTGAGACTGCGACTGTTGATGGAAGTAGAAATCCCAGTCTTTCATCCCCGGAGAGGCAGTTCACAGCCCAACTCTTTACTGCACCACTAGGGCTTCCTGGAAACTCTAGGAGCAGTTCAACTCCTGGCTTCTTATCGTGGAAATACAAAGAACCCTTAAGTACATCAATATGGATCCTTCTGTTTACAGAACTGTGTGTTTCTGCTCTGAGAGGAAGGAGTGATTAAAAAGGGCAATCAACTAGTAAACGGTAGCCTGGGTGGCATAGCGGTTACTCATTATGCTGCTCACCGCAAGGTCAGCGGTTTGAAACCACCAGCCACTCCAAGGGAGAAAGGTGAGGCTTTCTGTTCCCATAAAGGCTTACAGTTTCCAGTCTCAGAAACCCGCAGGGGCAGTTCTATCCTCTAGGCAGTGATTTTTTTTAAATTTTGTATTCGCCTGTGAGACCTTACCATCCACTGGGGAAAATCAGAGATTGTAGCAAATACCATACAGGGGAGGAGGAAATGAGTGTCAACTGCAAGGAGGAAGTATCTAAGAGGGTTGGGGACAGATGACAAAGGCATGGGTGACATTCGAGTTCGTCATTGTAGGATGAGCTCACAGATGAGTTGAAGTGCCTGGCTGGTTTAGGAAAGGTGATTCATCAGGGTGGGTGCTGTCCCTAGAGGCCAGCAGCTTCTGAGGCTGGGAGGAGAAGATGCTGGGCAGCCTTGAATGCCATGCTAAAAAGTTTGAACTGAGGCAAACGGAACTGCTCTAGCATATATGCACAGGCAGAGAGCAGATTCAAACAGGACCACTGATTTGAGTTTGGAACAAATCCACTCAACTCTTTGTCCGAGCCTTGATAACGTCCTCGCTGAAGAACGGGGAGGAAGGAGGAAGGAGGTGCTTGATGGCTGAGGATCCATCTTAAAGTATAAGGAAGCTCGGTTAGTGGAACTCTTATTAAAATTTATGCACCAATTACTAAAGTTAGTTATGAAGAAATTGAAGAATTCTACCAACTTCTCCAATCTCAAATTGCCCAAACATGCAAATAAGGTGCACTGGTAATCATTGGTGATTGGAATGCAAAAGTTGGAAATAAAGAGGAAGGAACAGTAGTTGGAAAATATGTTCTGGTGATGGAAATGAAGCTGGAGATTACATGATATAAAATTGCAAGACCAATGACTTCTTCATTGCCAATATCCTTTTCCAACAACACAAATGGCAACTATACGCATGGCCATTGCCAGATGGAATGCAGATGAATCAAGTTGACTACATCTGTGGGAAGGGACAATGGAAGAGTGCAATATCAGCCAAAAATAAGCTCAGGGGCCAGTTATGAAACAGACCTTTAACTTCTCATATACAAGTTCAGGCTGAAGTTGAAGATAAAATTTATAAGTCCAAGAGAGCCAAAATATGACTCTGCGTATATGCCATCTGACCTTAGAGAACATTTCAAGAGCAGATTTGGATTGCATTCAACAGTAATGAAGAAAGGTCTCACGAGTTGTGGGATGAAATCAAGAACAAGATGCAGGAAGAAAGCAAAGGGGGATTAAAAATACCAGAAAGAAAGGATCAAAGTGGCTGTCAGAGGAGACGCTGACATGTGTTGTCAAATGTACAGTAGTGAAAGCAAATAGGAGAAACTAGGAAGAAAACGTTGAACATAAATTCTCAAAGGGTAGCTGAAGAAGACAAAGTATCATAATGAGATGCGCAATGACCTCACGTTAGCAAACCAAAAGGAAGAACGCGCTCAGCACATCTCAAGCTAAAAGAAGTGAAGGGAACATTCAAGTCTTATGCTGAAAGATTGAAGGATTCTATGGGCAAAACATTGAAAAATGTAGGAAGTATCAAAGGAAGATGAAAGGAATCAGTGTGCCAAAAATTGTCAATATTCAACCGTCTCCTGAGGTAGCATATGATCAAGAATCCATGATACTGGAGCTGCCTTGAAGGCATTAGAGAAAAACAAGTTTCCTGGAATTGATGGAACGCCAATTTAAATATTTCAACAAGATGATGAAATATAGAAGTAGTCACAAGAAATTTGGACAGAAGCTACCAGGCCATTTGACTGTAAGACATCCATATTTGTGCCCGTTCCAAAGTAAAGTTATCCAACAGAATGTGGAAATTATCAAATAGTATTCATAATTATTCATGTAAAAACAACAAAAAATTGCCTGAGAGTACTCACAAAT